TTTCCGTGTATGTGAACGCACGAAGTACGCCGTACTCTCACTAACAAATCTTTTTATTAATTATATTTTGGTAGATTAAATGAGTCTTTTATATTATAGTTGTGTTAAAATGCTGGGAGTGCTAGGACTCGGTTACGTGTCGGACCTTAATAAATTTTCAATGTCTTGTATTAAATGTCTTTTATTATAACTCGCGTGACTGACTCTGCGACTGTACAATTCTGTGCCTCAAACCCGACTTATGGTTTCCCTGACCTTTTTCGGATCGGCTGCCCGAAGTCCCCCACTTTTAACGTCAAGTGCTGTCACTCATTTTTTTAAACAATAATTCCCTTGTCTTTTCCAAATCGAGGTGAATAAGCCGGAGATATCCGCGCTAAGCGATCCGGTTTTGTTTTTGTGTGTTGACCTGTATGTAACATGTGTACATATATGTCTTGTATATGTACGTGTATCTTGCCGGCAAAATTATTTTACTTTTACTTTTAATTTTCTTTTAATTTATTTTGGGCTGTGTGATGCAATCGCCACAATATTCGTTCTACATTTTCCATGGCTAGACATCCCTGTCATAATTGCTTAATATTCCAGTAGTAGACATACCGACAAATTGTTTGTTTCTTATAGCAATTGTCAATCAGTGGAAATACATTGATGTTAAAAGAAGTATGCAACAAGAGAGAATCTGTAAAAAAAATTTGAGTTAAGGTAGTACACTCGCGACAATACCATCCAAAAGTTAGTCCCATTGCGCGCTCGATGGCGATACTCCTTAGAACATATTTTACTGGAAGGAGAATTGAGTGCTGAACGTGAAGCCAACATCTGTGCGAGAGAGAAACGTATAGACAATTCTGCTTCCAGTAGTATATGTTCTAAGCGATACTCCCACTCCCGCCAATGAGAAAAAACATTTGGCCTGTCAAAACATTTGGTCTGTCAAAACATTGTGTCTGTCCATAGACCGCATGCACATGCAGAAAAAAAAATTAATTCAATTCAGACAAACGTAAACTAACGCAACTCGACTGGTCGCCTCCTTCACTCGCCTCCATATGTCAATCAAAATCGAAAATTATATTTTTTTCAAGGCTCTATTTTTCAAATTGAACGGTAAGAAATTATGAATTTTTTTCACAATACCTATCCGTTTCATGTTCCTTCATCGC